GTTCTTATAAAAAAATAATAATACAACAAGTATTTTGTCATAAGAAAAAAATGAAAGGTTTTTTTATCAATTTCGCTTTTTTCAAATTTTTTTCTTATCAAAAAAATGAAAGGTTTTTTTTATCAATTTTGCTTTTTGTCAAAAATTTTTCTTATCAATAAAATAAAAAGTTTCTTTTAAAAAAAACGAAAGGTTCTTATCAATTATTTTTCTTGTCAAATTTCTTTTTTTTGTCAAAAAATTAAAAAGTAATAAAATGTTATTGTCAAAATAAAAAGTTCTTATAGAAAAAACATAATACTACAAGTATTTTTTTTCATAAAAAAGGTTCTTGCTAAAAACAAGAAAAATGTAATACGACAAACATTTCTTGAAACAAAATAAAAGGTTTTTGTCAAAAAAACTAAAATGTTCTTATAAAAATATCATTATTTATTGTGGTCCATGTATGATTATATATTTCATCCATGATAGTTCTATGATTTTTATTTTATATGATGTAATTTAATGGTTAAAATAAGTTCATACAAAGAAAAAATATCTCAATATTCACATATTGATGAAAAAAATAAAAATTAATATTATAGTATCCCGATTTCTTATTGGATTCCTAAAAAACAACCTTTAATAATTTTTTTATATTTTTTTTACAACTTAATCCGATCAATTCGGCCGATTCCCGATCTGGATCGCCAATCCACGGATCCGAATGGGTTTTTGGGGTGCCCGATCCGTTTTTTAAACCACTGCTTACAACCATATTACTTACAACCATTCGATGTGAAACCTGATAGCTTGGGTGTGTCACAAAGTTCAAAGAAATTTCTTTTGAACTTTGAGCTTGGTCAATGAAATAAATGCAGCTATCTCATTTTGCATCCAATTGTTCTCATTTTGCATCCAATTGTCAAGATTAATTATGATCACTTTGTACCAAAGATAAATGGTCTCATTATATACTTTCTTTTAATTAATTAAAGTGATCATTTTATTTCCGTCTCTTTTTCTTTTTTTGGTAGATCAGATCGAAAGTTTTTTACTTGTGGTAGGAATCAAACTCAAGATGTTGTGTTGTGGTCCACAACACTTTAACAATGCCTTCCGTCTATTCCTAAAAAATTGGATGAGATCCACTCAAAGCAGTGGGACTCGCTTTCGTTATTGCTCCGATGTGTTACCTTAACCAAGCCACTGCCTATGAGTCGCCGGCTCATTCTTCAATAGGCACGCGGTCAGAGATAATGAGTGATCCAATTGTGTGTTATAGGTGAATAAGATAAAAATATGGATCAAACCCTTTAGCCTTAGTTATTTTTTTTAAGGTACCTTTTTTGGGAAATATTGATAAATTCCAAAATCCATTGTGTCATCCAGTAGCCTTAATTGTATGTATTAAGTAACAAGGAAGCTAGAAGGTGGTTGTCGTCCCTCTAAGTAGTGATGCCAACCGCCTCCCCTTTCAACGAACATTTTAAAAAGAGAAAAAGGTTTTTAGAGATAGAAGTAAATAGGAGTCTTAGGATTTAGAATTTTGAATTTAGGATTTAGAGTTCAGAGTTCAAGGCATTATTTTCATCCTCTCTTACTAGAAAACATTTTCTTTTGAGAAAAAATATATTTTTGGTAAAAAATTTTGAGAACAGGTACTATTAAAACCAATGAATAAAAAGTAGGCTCTGAACTCCTAACCTTCCAATTCAACTTGGAAAATTCTCTGGTGGTACAAGCCATTTTTGGATCATTGTTTACTATGTTTTTTATAAATAAATTTTTTTATGAGATTGTATACTACAAAATTATTTTATCTTTCATACAAAAAGGTCATAATTACTCCTACCCATTAAATATCAAATTGGATACAGTTACTAGGGTTTGGGGTCGAATCCTCCTATGATTGTGGAATTGTGGAAAACTTGAGAGAGAGACCTGCAACTATAGCAACATGGCATAAGGAAACTCCAATCTCTTGGGCAGGGGACAAGGGGATGAAAGCCCATCCAAAAATTCTAGGAAGGACAAATAAATTTCAGTAATTAGTAGTAACTATATATTCAAAATAAAACAAATTCCTGAGCACGAAAACATGTCCTTCAAAATGCAGTTACTTACAGTTGCGGCTTTATCGTTTCATTGAATTTCAGTTAAGGAAACGCCTTCTGCATTTTTTGGTTTTATTGGGGTGCATTAAATGTTGATCCTCCACTTGTGCAGGCATTGATTGCTGCTTTCCATCGTTTTTTAAGCTCATCAATTCGATTTTCATTAAAATAACAGAAAATAGAAAATGACAGAAAAATTTGGAGTGTAGCCCCCAAGTTCAGAATTGGGTACGTAATGCCATACACATTGCGTGTATAGCACATCACATTTTAGGAGTAATAGTATATCACATTTTAGGAGTATTACAATGATTGCATATGTACATTAGATGTGTATCATTTTATTGATATATTGATAAGGGTGGCTGACCCATCTATTTAAATGAGCCCTCTCTCCTAAATCTACTTTAGAGATGGATTTGGGATTAAAATTTTAAGGAATAAAAATACCAACTATGATGAAGAGGAACCCATGAAAAAAATAAATTAAAAAATGTAATTTTTTAACATAATTTGTATGCTGTCGATTTTAAAATTTTTGGAAGCCATCATTGTCTAACATCCATCTCTAAGATGGATGTAACGCGTCAGGGTACGTTATTGTAGGAGTGCGTCCCCTGATGCACACACTATTGGCAAACTGGGATTATTTATTTTGTAATTATTGGGATTCTGTGGGTTTTTTTAAGATTTGAATAGGAAACATCCTAAATCACTACAAGTGCATTTGTGCTTTGAATCCATAACCTCACAACTTGAGAAAAAGGGAAAAGTTTATATTAGGTTGAACCTTAAAAATGTGAAATTACATATGCACCTCAAAAATACATCGGAAAGATTGTTTTAATCTTGATAAACTCTTTATTTGATCATCTCAACATCGAGATGTATGAATATATATAAAAAAAATTGAGTCTCAGAAATGGTGCTTTTGCAACACATTATCTAGACCGTCTATTTTCAAGATTTTCATATGTTTATAGATCTCTTTGATTTTAACCATTTTTAGAGTTTAAAAGTTTCCAATTAAATATGAAAATAGATTTTAAGATAATCCTAAGAATTTTTTACAACAAAATTACATGTTAAGATAAAATTTAGAAATGCACCTTAATTGGATTGTCTAAAGTTGCAACCTTATAGGAACTGCACCCTAAGAAAAATAGTGGAGATTTGAACGAGTGCAAAGAATTAAAATAATAGACTAAACAAATAGTGGAGATTTGAACGAGTGCAAAGAATTAAAATAATAGATTAAAAATAAGTTCGAGATAGATTATTTTAAAATATAAAATTTAAATTTTTTATATTCATAATTATGGTAATCGAAAACGAAACTTTAAATCCAAAATCCATTCCCAAGATGATCTCCAGAAGGTGACAGGCTAGAATAAGTGTGCCAACACCCTGACTCTACAGTCCCATTACGGACATTAGGGTAGGCATCCACAGACCACAGTCAAAGTTTAAAGCGAATTAAATGCTTAGCCGATGCTCTTTTGTGACAAATATCTATACGGGAAATCTGATTGAAAGCCTATAATAAATGAAGAGATAAAAATTTCATTGTAGACCCCAAATAGTTGACAAAAAAAAGACTGATGAGAACGAAAAAATTACGTTATACCGCATAAGCATATAATCCATTTACTCGCTCAAATAATACCTACCTTTTAGTATTTTTATGAAAAATCAGATCAGTGACTCGAATCGATCACACCCATTCCTGTATCAGATTGGGGGAATCGGTGTATCGGATCGAAAGAATTGGTGGAATCGAAAATTTTATCCCAAATTTTTTTTTTAAAATAATTCAATAAAAATTGTTCATCCATTTTTTTTTTTTTTTTCACTTGACTCAGTGAAAAATCCGTAGAAATCAATGAAGAATCAATCTAACTCGGTGAAGAATTGTTGGAATCAGCATTTCCATGAAAAAATTGAGATCCAAATAAATGATATTTTTAAAAAATGCTCTAATAATAATCACTAAACATTATGTGGGTTAACATTATCGAACTAATAATAATAATAATTACTATGTTGATCCCAAAATTTTAGATTAGAAGAATCCTCCGAAATAGAGGGAGCAATAGATGGTATACATAGTCCTTCACTATCAAAACCACCCTAATTAATTGAAACCACCCAGTTAGTTGTGAAAAGACTCTTAACGACAATGATAATGGTCTTCTTCATCAGAACTTGGGGAAATACCTCGATTCCAAGGAGAGATTCTCCCGATCTTGAGGATTAATTTATTAAAAATAGTGGTTTTATGTGTTTTCTACCATCTATAATTACACTTATATAAAGCACAACTTTAGTTCAATTTCTCTCAAAGATTTCAAAATTTTACCTGATTTTTAAAATTGAGAATTTATTTATAATCCTTAATTTCCTTCTAGGAGTGAGAAATGGTTGTGGAGAGAGAGAGATCACGTTTATCCGCGTTACAATAATGATGGGTCGAAGTACAGGGTAAAGAAAACAAAGTAAATTAAAACTTCAACATGAAAACCAAGCAGTAAGACTCATAAGTAGTAAGCCGTCAATTTGACCAAAATTTCCCCCTTTATTTTTTTTTGCTTTTTTCCCTTCCTCAAAATAAAATAAGGTTATCAAGCTACGGGGAGCTCCCCACACTCACTGATCACAACTTTGGATTTCGGCCGATCGCCTCTGTCCGTCTCCTGAGACTCGATCAATTTGACAACATCCATGCCCTCCAAAACCTGACCAAATACTACATGCCTCTTGTCCAACCAGGGAGTCTGCATAACTCAACAAAACCACAACATTCAAAAAATAATAATTTCAACAAAACCACAAATGAAAAAATAGTTTTGCCATTTCGTTTTCCAATTTTAAAGTAGTTATTGATTTAAGTTAAGTGTATAAAATAGAAACCATCTATCACAATTATGAGGCCTGATCCAACATCTCGATCAAAATTTCCCATCGGGGTTAAAAGCCCAAACTCGGTCTCGGAAATTGTTAAGGTCCCATGCACGAGCCAGAGGCCAACTCAGCCGAGTCTCAAAAAAAGCACATGAAATTTAAGGACTTCGGTCAGAATCACCCCTAATTTTAGGGTTTAGTCATCCAGACTTGGGGCACCAGTGACTCAGGCAAAGTCCAAGCCTGAGACACCATTTTTTAAAACACTGTTTTCCATAACCTAAAGAATATAGAAAAGTGGAACACAATTCAAAAATAAAGAAAATTCACCAAACAAAAAAACATATTTTCTAGGAAAGCAATAATAATAGAATGGAACTCTTGGAATTATAAGAAAAATATTCAGAGAGGGGTGCACCCAAATGTATCATTTGGGTCTACCATGCCCACTAACCGTATCTGGATTATCTATGTCATGTTTTTGCCAATTTTCTTAAATGACACCCCATTTAAATTTCATATTGAAATTCAGCTAAAGTCTTCAAGATTTCATCGTTTTTCCTTTTCTTTTTTCTTTTAGAAATTGTTTTCCGAAGGTAACTAAAATCACCAAAGTAAACATAGCAAAGCATTTAAACTGGGACTAGGTAGAGATTCATAGTACCTTGACTGTGCAGATAAAGAACTGGCTTCCATTTGTGTTGGGTCCCGCATTGGCCATGCTAAGAATTCCAGGCCCCAAATGAGCCACTGCAGAAAATTTTTGCGAGTTAAGAAGATCATTGCACTAAGTCAAACTCACTAGAGAGACCCAATGAAACAAGGTTGCAAATTCAAGACTTACACTTAAAGTTCTCGTCCTTGAATGTACGGCCATAAATACTTTTTCCTCCAGTTCCCTGCACACCATAAGGGCACACCCAATTAGGCAATTACTTAGAGGAGGTGGAGCTATATCTACATATTGCTTGCTTCTCAAAATTTTCCAGATAAAATAAACATCTAAATGGGGTAGGAATGGGTTCTTGATCAATTATCAGTGAGTAAACGGAAGAATATGTTATTTTTCGATCACATAAGCAATTCGGTAAATTACTTGTTTCAAGGAGGAGATCCATATCTAGATTAATATTGCTTTTAAACTTTTGAGAGATCTGTATTATCTGTAAACCACTGAAAACTGGAAATAATTTGCTTAAAAAAAGTATTCTAGATGCCATAGCATCTCATGATCTATAAGCACTTTCCAAGATGAAAATCGTCAAATATCTGTCATTAGCCATAGCAAATCAACTGGAACACAGGGGAAGTCGAGTCAGTTTATCATTCATTTTTAGTACCTCTATTAGGAGTCCCTTTAAAAGCATTTGGTCATATCACCATAAACATGTTACACGCACAAATAACACATACATATACATACAGGCGTATGTACACCTGCATGCACACACAAGCATGGAAAATTCATTGAGTCCTATCAACTTGCTGATACAAACTTAGAAGCCTAATCTGGCACTACAGTTGTTCAAGAAGGAAATTACTTACATTTTCACGCACATCCAGTTACTTTATATGTAGAAGAGACAAGGAGACCTTGGGCGTCACAGCATTGAGGATTGTGCACTTAGCTCTCCTCTCGAACATTGTTTGTGATGCCAATATTCCTCACTCCCTCTTTAAATTTTCAGAATCCCCATTTTTATCCAAAGCTTTAAAAAACGCTAGGTGGCCCCTAGGCAGCAACCGGCCTGGCACCCAGAGCCCAGGTAGGTGCCCTGCAGTACAAATTCTTTAGCTATATATATATATATATATATATATATATATATATATATATATATATAGTACGTACGACACATATATAGTATATATTATTAGTTAGTTNTTAGTTAAGTTTAT